TGGAAACAGACATTTAATGAAGTCAAAGAAAAGAGAAATTCTTTATATTAAACGTTATTAGAATAGAATTAAAAACCCTTTGAGTAAAATAAAAATGATCTTGAGAATTTATTGCAAATGTTATGTCACCTCTGACCTGACGCGAGACTTAACAGCCTTAACATCTATGTAGAAAAGGAAATCAGCAACTGTTAACTCTGTTAAACTTGTATACTGTGGATAATTATAGCATCTATTTTTTATGTTGATGACATGAAAACGTCCGTTCCACTGAACAGTTTTGTAACTGTTTCCTCTTAGTGAGTCGAGGTTGAACTGCTCTGATGAATGTGTGAATGTCATGTGTCACTCAGTCATCTGTTGCTCCTCTTCCTGTCTTCAGTCTCAAGGGCAGCACGATCACAGCAAACATGGGGCCGACGAGGAAGAAGATATGGCAACAGCTTTTGATGGAGTGTGGAAGGGGCTTACAGCCTTGGCCGGCATCTACCTCCTCTTCATCATCGAACACTGTATTGGCATGTTTAAGCACTACAAAGACCAGAGGGTGAGTTACCTTGATCCAGCTGCAGGTGATGGAGTGGGCCGTTACCAGACGCTAAACCTGTTTCTGCTTTAGGTTTTGTCTTTTGTTCAAACTCTTTTGAAGCAACACAATGTAAGAAATGTGTATAAATATATATATAATGAGCATTGTTGCTCACAGGGCATGAAGAAGGTGAATGAGGAGGGCAAGATTGGCAGGAAGTTGTCAGATCATAAGTTAAATCGGCGCTCGGATGCAGAGTGGCTCCACCTTAAGCCGCTCAATGAAGGTTAGTGTTTGTTCGTGAATCTTTACAGCAGCTCGCCAGCTTTAGCTCCTTTGGTCCTCCCGTTAACATTTCCTCCCTCTGCCAGACCCCGACAGCACAGCTGTCTCCTGCGACAACAGCCACAACGACACGCAGCTCACCGAGCTCCAGACGCCCGACTCTCCCACCAACAAGACGCCGCTGGCACCCGCAAACCTCGGTCAGTCCCCCGCCAAGGAGAATGGACGTAAAACCAAGAAGCACTCGCACGGACACGGTCACTCTCATGGAGGAAACTGCCACTCGGATCAGGAGATGAAGGACGCTGGGATAGCCAGCATTGCCTGGATGGTCATCATGGGAGACGGCATGCACAATTTCAGCGATGGCCTCGCCATAGGTACCACGACTTTGTAACTCACCAGTATAGAGGATTTAAATCTAGTGGCACTGAAAGCAGAGACTGAAATACCAGCAGTTTTCCAAATGATGCCCATTAGATGAGGAAAGCAGTGGGAGCTGGGCTTGACATCACTCCCAGCTCCCATATCTGTCTCTCGAGCTTTTAGTTTTAGAGTTTATAAAAGCTTGAGCTTTTAGATCTGAGATCACTTTTAAATAGATGAAATTCTTCACTTTAGTCATTTAATATTAATATCCAGTCATGTAATGGCACATGTCTGACAGAAAATAAGGCCTAATGGGTCCATGTTGAAGTCTGGAAACATGGTGCTTTACTATAAAATGTGGGTTTTTTTTTTTATACCAAGCATGAAGCTACCACCAGCAGTCTTTTGGCAGAAGATTAATATTTAACTGGTAGATGCACAGCAGTCTGTAGTTTCCTCTAATGGTCTGTTTCTTTCTCTTTTCTCTGACACTTTGAACTCTACAGGCGCTGCGTTCAGTGCAAACCTGACAGGTGGCATCAGCACATCAGTGGCTGTTTTCTGCCACGAATTACCTCATGAACTCGGTACGTGCACTAAGACACTGTGAAGGGGGGATAAAATAAATAAAACTGTCAAAAGCAACTCATTTACTCATTACACACAAGACACTGCACGCTTCATTTATTCAACAAGTGGAACAAAGCTGTTTTGTGGAGGCTTTGGTTCCCGTAATGATAATCAGCGTCTAAATCACCGCCTCGCGCTGAAAAGCTCTCGTCTTACTTGAACTGAAACTTTAATCAGAGCGAGTCTCGCAACCCTCCGTCCCTTGAAACTTGTTAAAAAACCAGTGGCGTCAATAATCAGCGCTGTGCTCTTCACTCCAGAAAAATGCTGGGCTTTTTTTGGTAAATTAATGGCTTTCACATGACGGCACTGAGATGATTCGCCAATATCTGTCAGAGCAGATGATATACTGAGCCTGGCACACGCTGTTCAATACAGCTGCCGGTGCTCTCGTTTGCATTCAGCTATCCTCCTCTGAGGAGCCGTTTGATTCACTGTGATTCAGCAGCAGTGAGCAGCTTTGTTCAGGCATGCTTGTTTTTTTGTAAATAACGCCGCAGTGCTCTCCTCTGCCCGTTTGTTTATAGAGAGAGGAAGAGGATGGGGCAAAGAAGACAGACAATGGGCCCGTCCACAGCAGATCAGTACTGATGATGTGTCTCATTGTGCTGCAGCTTCATTGCCTCGTTTGTGTTCTTGATGAATAGACTAGTGTCAGTTACCGCTGCGTGTGAACTGGTGAATAATAACCTAGGTTTGTCTGGCTGCCCCCTCCCCTTGTGTTGATCAAGAGCACCCTGTTCTCTTATTGTTGTGTTTTTAGAGGGAAAATGAGTAGAGGAGAAGAAACAGGCTTTTCAGTCTGTAATATTAAAGCGCTTAGCAGAAAGTACCAGTTAATGACTGTGTCTGCAAAATTTATTTTAAAAAATCAGCATATATATCTATCTATCTATATATATCTATAGATAGATATATTTCTGGATATAGATCTATATATCTAGATCTATCTATCTCTAGAGAGAGAGAGATACCGTCAGTTCCAATCTGTCTGCTGCTATAGATATATATAAATATCTATATATAGATATAAAGAACGCATTTTTAAAAATCCTTTATCTCTATGTTAAGTTTCCAGATGGCTAACTGCTGCAGCACCGAAATCTCGTCTTGAGCGTTATGTGGAGATATGCGAGCTCGGTCCCTTTGTCCCCGTGTAATTTCACATTTCCTGTTGATTCGGTGCCCGTTTCTTCAGCAGCGCTCGCTGTCGTGCTTTCACCCCCGTCGGGCAGCCTGTCAAACAAACGCAGCAGTTTGACAAGTGCACCTCTCAGCTCCTCCTCAACACAAAGACTGTCCCCTGACTGGCAGCTGGATGGAAAAGATGATGATTATAAGGGTTCTTTAACCACCCAGAGTGAAACTAATTGGCAGTGATGGGTGTGTTAATTGCGGTAGATGAGGCGGCAGCAGGCGTGTCTGAGTGTCTGACGGTTTGGAACGGGGGGAAGTAGGAAAAGTTGAAGAGGGGTGCTGACAAAAAAAAAAATGCCAGTGAAGCGAGGTGTGCGTGGACCGTCTCTGTTAAGTTCTCTCCTCTTTTCTCCGGGGTTGATTGATGGATGAGAGCAGAGTGGTAATATATTCATTGTGGTAATTAGCGAGGAAAAGAGGCCGCTTGTTACACGGCGCAGGAAATGTAGGCCACCCCCCTTCTCAGTATTCATCTCTCTCTCCAAATCCAGGGCGTTTCCGCTGAGACTCGGGCCTCTTCTCGCATTTGGCCCCAGCGATGATTGAAGAGGGTAGAGAGGCTACTGCATGCATATGTAATCATAAGTATATGAAGTGCGACTCTGGTTTTTTCCCCACCCATGTGAAGACAGAAAGTGGTGGTGGTGGATGCGTGTGGGAAGGTTTGTTTAGAACAAGCTCACCTCATCACTGAAGGCGAAGTGAGTCATGGAATAAACCGGAAAAATAAGTAAAACTACACGAAGTGAGTTCGTACTCCACAAAGAGTATGTCACTTTTTAGACGGTAAACAGAACTCGGACATACAGCTGTTATTCTGCTTTTACCTCACACACAGTGTGTGTGTGTGTGTGTTGTTGTTTAAACGAGTGTGTCTTCTGGCCGACAGGTGACTTTGCGGTGCTGCTGAAAGCCGGGATGTCGGTGAAGCAGGCTATTGTCTACAATCTGCTGTCAGCCCTCATGGCCTACGTTGGCATGCTGATTGGCACTGCGGTGGGCCAGTACACGCACAATGTCACCAACTGGATCTTCGCCATCACAGCTGGCATGTTCCTTTATGTGGCTCTGGTGGATATGGTGAGTTGGCTGAGCGTGCTCCACAACCCCAGAGTGATAATTGTCCCCCTAACTCCCTCTACTCTCCCACACACGGGCAGTCACTCGTATTCTCGTTGCCTCCTGATCTGCAATGCTAATCCCAGAAAGTCTGAGTCTTATCCCAACTGGTTACTTTGTCTCTTTTATAGCTGCCAGAAATGCTTCACGGGGACAGTGAGGAGCACAAGCGGTGCCAGCTGGGACACTTTATCCTGCAGAACCTGGGCATGCTGACTGGGTTCGCCATCATGCTGCTCATCGCCATCTTCGAAGACCGCATTGTTTTCGATTTTGGCTTCTAGTGGAGGACAGAGGAAGCAGAAGGAGGGGAGAGCTGGATGTATCAGTGTTGTTCTTGGCCTTAACTTGCTCTGTTTGCAATGTAACGGCCCGGTCTTGCATGCAACGTGTCTCGTTCATGGCCTGTGCCTCCATTCCAAACATGCTGCGGTAGCTTATGCATATCTCATGACTCTGGTAGTGTTGTTCATACTCTGCTCCTCCATCACTTCTCCTCCGTCAGTTCCAATCTGTCTGCTCCCTGTGAAACATAAAGAGGCAGAGTGACGGAGGAGCAAAGTTATGCCCCAACCAGGATACACCTCTGTTCTGAACGTTTAAAAGAATAAAATAATGTAGATAGTGAGGTGGTGCAGGGCGTGTGTTCATACAGAGAGGCAGCTGTCACGGCTCAGCAGCTCGCCGCCTATCCATCATCACCTGTTGTTAGTGTGTTGTCGTCGTACACCTCCCCGTGTCCTCGTCTCTCATCCCCTCTGTGCTGTGTCCTGTCAGCTGTGCCGCGTACATCTGTGGTGTGTGTTTCACCTGCCATCCATCGTCGCCGTCTTATGTGATCACGTCGTGTATCAAACGCCGTCGTGCCAAGCCCCGGCCACTGGAGCAGCTCCACAGCTGCATCGCACAGTGCCCTTAAAGCGACGCTGGCTGCTACATGTGGAATAAACTATTTTAGCTGGTGTTGCTTCACCTGCAAAACACGCTGACAGTTTTAAGCTGCAGTATCAAAACAGAAAAGAATTTAGCTGTTTGTGTGTGGGAGATTGTCTTAATTACTCAGTTTTTATTTTATTTTTGCTGCCATTAACTTTAGTTTTGCCCTTAGAATTACGTTTTACCGCCTAATTTTTTTAAGACTACTAAACCTTTGTAGTTTGTAGTAGCCCTTTTCAGACATGGGATAGGTAACAAGTGACAGTATTCTGTAATTCAAACATAGGTTTCTTCTTCTTCAGTGCTTTGAATAGTTCTGTTATAATTGAGACAAAAACTGTTTTTAGAGATTTTTAATGTTTTTTACTGCTGCTGGCATCAGACCGCCAACCCAAAGGTTTCTTAGTGGGAGTAGATGCAAATACACGCAAAGCCAATGTGACTAAAGTCATCAAAATATGTCTGTATGGAGCGCATCTAAAAACTAAATTGGGAACATTCAGATCCAGTAAATGAAAGTTGTTGTTTTTTTAAAGCGTGTCTGAAAAGGGTTACTGACAGCTGCTGCTAACAGCTGCCAAAGCCTTTACACACTAGCATTTACAGTAATCAGTGTTTTCTTTTTGTCTACTTTGGGAACCAAATGCTGCAAACGTCCAGCCAACTTTGTTCTGTAAGGGTCTAACTATCTTCAGCTAAATGAGAACGTTTCTTACTTAGGCCTCTTTGAGAGTCACCGACTTCAAAATGTGAATTAAACTTATTTTTATCTTCATAACAAGTGTTGTAGTTTACTCGATTTTTGTTTAGGGTGCCTCTTTGAGTTCCTGAAAGGTACTTTGTCCCATTGGACCAAACTGTGGTCTGTAGTTATGGTAGGAGGTTCAGTTGTCTCATCTTCACTGATGAGACTTACATCTGTGGATGTACTGTAAATACATGAGGTCTGTCTAGCGTCAGTTGTTGTGCAGCTAAAAGTTGAAGCTAAAAATTCTTCCTGCTAAAAGTGTTTGTTGAAGAATGAATTCCCGACAATCTGTGACAGATGACGCAAAGAGCAGTACACTCCAGTGCTTCTAAACGTCCCAGCACTTCTAGTAATCGATTAACCAGGTTATCGATCCAAAGCACAAAGGTTATTTAATGGGAGTATTTTTCCAACCATGTGTAGTCACTGTGCTGGCTGTGCCCAAACTGGCCACAGTGTGGATTTTCAGCAGCTGGTGCTTGACGCCACCCATCATCCCGCCCACCCCGACATTCCATTGGCTGCTCTGTGGCTCACATGCTAAAGCTACCAATCCTAGCTTCAGCTGCTGGAGCACGCAGACTTCAGTTATCCTGTCACTGTGTGACATCCATCGTCTGTCTTAACTGGCTGTAAATCGTCGTGAGTCTCACTGATCTGACTGAATCATGCATGAAGCATGAGTGAAGCGGTACAGACGTGTTGGGTGTTTTATTCTTTGTACTGCAAGAGTAAAAACGGTGAAAACTTTTTGTTCCTTTTTAAATGAACTGTGTGAAGATCATGGGAGGTTGTCCAGGGTGTATTGTGACGGTGTTACAAGCCTTTTTTAAAAAAGTTTTTATTATTTTGAAGCAGATTATGTTGCGACCAAAGTCGTCTTATTATCTGCACGGTTATTCTTTGTATAAGTGTTTTATTATTTCATCTTATGTTCACATGGAATTTTAGTGCAATGGGACCTGAATGTATTTTAATTCAGAATCAAATGAAGCTTATTATTTCCCCCTTTTTAAAATATAAGTTTACATCTATTTGATTGTTTTTCTCCAATATTGACTGTTTTATTTTTCTTTTTTTAAATAATTTAAACCTTTACCGCCCTGTTGAGTGCTCAGTAAGACTTTGTGACACATCGCCCAAAGTTTCCTCACTGTTTCTCAGGCAAAAAGACCATGATCATATTTGCTTTGCTCTGTGTATATTTGTTTAGTGACCTGGATATAAAATGCAAAATGTGATATCCTTGCTTTTTGCCTGTCTGTACATTCTCCCCTACGGAAGGAAAATAAACTCTGGAAACTTCGTGGACTCCTGATCTTTGATGGTTCTGCCATAATCTTGCCCCTTGGTGCCCGTCTCTTATATTTACCACAACAAATTCACCGGTAATTGGCAGATGTAGTCCACAGACCTTCTGTCCACCAGTTTCCTTCTCACATATATCACCTGAACATCTGCTCGAGCTAATGCGTAATAATTGCTTCTTAAACCCGTCAAACTGCGCTCTGACTCTCACATTTATCCACACCGGCACAAATTGGCGGAAGAGAGCAGAGAAACCCTGTTGGCAGCACTCCTGCCAATCCTCCCCTCACTTTATCTGCTGAAGCTGGTTTGTAAATGAGTGACCTGGAAGATGGATCTATGAAGAAACCAAACCGACTGTGCAGCTGAGTCAGTGCCCTGTTCATTAGAAAAGCTGTGATTTTCTAATTTTCATATTCCAGGGTTCGCATGTATCTGTCCGATGCTGCTATTGCACACGGTGTCAGGTATCTAGATCAGGACTATTGGCGCTAAGAATCCTTCTATAAGGAGTTGAGATCAGGAGGTGACAGTGAAGTAAATTAAGGTTAAACAAGTATGAGAGTGCAGCTTTTGTCTCTATGATGGATTTGCTGGTTTTCACTTTCGGTGTTAAGAAACAACTTTTTGAAGTTCAGTGTTATTACAGTTTTCAATTTTGAATTCAATTTTAGTTATACAGCGCCAAATCACAACGGTCGCCTCAAGACACTTCATATTGTAAAGTAAACCCTACAATAATACAGAGAAAACCCAACAATATCACCCATTATGAGCAAGAACTTTGGCGACAGTGGGAAGGAAAAACTTCCTTTGAACAGTAAGAAACCTCCGGCAGAACCAGACTGAGTTTAGTTTTTATTCTGTTAGATCACTGTCAGACTTTGTAATGATTATGATATTGTGTGGAGGGCATATGTCTTCTTGGTCTTGTAGACACTCAAAGCCTCAAGAAATGTGTCCATCAGTGCCTCATCAGCAAGTTTTAATAAATGTTTTAACTGGTACTAAAACCAAATGTATTACCTCCATATTTTAAGTCATTTTAGTTTTCCAAGTTCACAAAACCAGTTAACTAAAATGTTTCTTTTTGATATCTGGTTGTAGTTTTATTTAACTATAATAAGCTTGGTTAGGTTTAGGAGAAGATTGTGGTTTGTGTTATTATCCAGTGCAGCGTGAAGAGGTCCTTTACAGGAGCTCGACCAGCCTCACTGATGTCGTCCAGCTGATGCATCGTGGCACTGACATTGTGTACGACACGTGCTCTTGTGTGTTTTGTGGCTGATTATTGGTGTCATTTTTTGGTGTTGCAGGTTTGTGACATTCTGAAAAAAAGCCCAGAGAGCCTGCGTCGGTTTCTGTTCCCGATTTTTTTAATTACACGTCAGAGTGTGAAACAAATCCAGACGTAAGCTAAAGCTGAGACTACGAGCTGAGCTGGCAGAGTAGAGCGACCCCTCTTCTGATCCAGTGCTCTGCAGGAACGTTGGAGTTGAGTGTCATGGCGATGACATAATTGGTGGAGTGTCCAGTGGTGGACAGGGTGCCACGTCGCTCGCTCGTCTTGTAGACGGGCGCCAGATAACACATCCTCTCAGGAATGTCGCCTCGCTTCATGGGCTTCAACCACATCTGACAGAGAGAAGCACAGAGTGTTACAGAGGGGACGGGATGGGGTGGTCGCACCTCAAAGTGTTGGGGTGTGATCTGTTTAGAGTTTGGAAAGCAGCCGCGGTCTTGTAGAGGTTTTTTTTCCTTTCATAAGATTTGACTGGTGGAATAATTCAGCTGGCTTTGGGGGTTTGCTTCGCCTCCACTCATGACACACAAAAGGAAACAGCCCCGATTGCAGGATAAATGCACTGTGATGGGCGTGGGTGTCTTCAAAGGGGTTCAGAGGTCAGGATGGAGCGATAAGCATTCGCTGCAGTGGAAACTAACCTGGCTCTCGATTTGTTATCCAAACATTAACTTACAAATTGGAACTTTGGGGACATAAACTTATAAAACAATAGCATTAACGAGCAAGAGCTCCCTTGGGCTATTAAGAAGTCTTGGTTATGCAAAAGGGATAAACTGGGCCACTCCAAAAAACATCTTTAAAAAACAAAAAAACAAAAACTGTTTGTAGACTTGCAGCCTGAAAAGCTGCTCATCTGGTTCCATAACGGGCGCCTCAGCGAAGATTTGCATTTCAAAGGCAGGCGCGGCAGCCTCTGTTGTGCTGCTTTTTTCTCTCCCCACAAATAATAAACACATTTTTAATTAAGTTCCGCTCTTGTCAAGAACTGATTCTGTTAATAACTTGCCCTGAACTGTCTGAATATAAAAAAAAAAGTCAGTCTCGTGCATAATTCATAGGCGCTGACTGCATTGTGAAGAAGAGAGACTGGAAAAGATTCAAACCGTAAGGAAAACTTGATCAGTGGCTGCTTTGAGCCACCGGCTCTTACTTCCATCACTCTGTCAGTCTGCTTTCATATGCCACAGCATGCCCTGCTAATTAATAAAAGGATGGGAAGGAGACAAGTGTCCTGCAGGCAGAATGTAAAATAGTGCTGAGGCTGCAGCCGAGTCCAGAGAACATCCTCCTGGGTGAAGCAGCAGCTACACCCACAGCGGCTGCTGCTCGCTTCCTTTGCAGTATTTGTCCCTTCTTAAGTAATAGCTGTCGCACTGGGGTTTACGAGCAACGCAACAATTAAAAACTTTTTCTTTCTGATGGCCAGAGGGATTCACACAAGCACAATCAATAAACCTCCTCCCTGCAAACTTTATGTAAGAATTTGTTATGCAACACGGCTTTTTGGGGCCTTTTTGGTGCCTGCAGTGTTTTGCTATCAGCTCCACAAATTCATTTAACAGTGCCCACAATGAGCTTTCAAATCCACTAGCTGTAATATAAAGTGTAAACCAACACGCTTCTCTCTACGTGTTTCTGCATGGGGCCTCACCAGGAAGGCATTCATAAGCCAGTTTCACACACGCGCTGCAGCGTTTACCTTCCAACCGAGGCCTTTCAAATCCAGTCATTTCAAAGTTTTGTGTTTTTTTTCCACTGAATTATCAGCTGGTTACAAATAATGCTTTTTTCCTCTTATTCTGCCATACACATCATGATTTTTTGCTTTGACACTGGTGCTTAAATCTGGAATAGAAAATAGTGCTGAGTGAAAACTAAATGATGCCTTTAGGCTGTTTATCAGCCCTGAAAAACTCCATAAGGATGCGCTGTACTTGTGAGGGCTCACAACAGCTGCAAAAAATTCAATAAAACGCACAAAATTACTAGAAATAAAAGGTGACGACAAACATGAATGCAATGCCGAATGCTCACCACAGGCATGGAGTCATGCAGCACTTTGGGATAGGACTCAGCAAGACGTTTGGTCTTTCTGTCCCAGCGCGCCCCATCAAGGAACAGACCTCTGATGTACACACCTGACACAAACACACACAATTCATTCTTACTGTGGTATTAAAATCCGCAAATTACCTTCTACAAACTGCAGCTTTGGACAAACACATTTCTACATGAATTAAGCTGAACTGACCTCTGCTTGTTTGCAGAGTGCAGCAGGCTCTTCCTCTAATAGGCTGGAAAAGGGGGCATGACTTAGAGATAACTAGATGTTGGCACCCCTACAGTATGACACACCCAAATGCACAAACACACTGTCAGATTTGTAGCTTGGCAGTATAGCTTGTGTTAGCTTGGTGGGGGCCCAGCAGGGAGCTGATTGAGGGTGAGACTTTATGTGAGACTTTGACTGAGAATCTCACAGCGGAGCTGGAGGCACAGCGAGGGGCTGATGCAGGCCCGCATGTAAGAGAGAGGCAGGGATGCTTTACTTTAACTTACTTTCTCGCTTTATACTTTGCTCCTCTCGTATTCAGTCAGCCTTGTGTCACTTTTCATCTGTTTGTTTCTTCTCCTACACCCACCACTTGTGTTCCTCTCATTTCGCTCTCTGCTTTGAAACCTCATTTTGAATTCCCCTCTTTCATCTCTCAGATTCCTTCCTACTACAAGTGCTCTCCATCTTCCCCGTATCTTTTATTTACCCTCATTTAAAGAGAGGGGCCTTTAGAAAACCTGTCCTAATACCCTGCTTACACTATTAACCCAAGGCCACGCTCCCTCATCCTATCTGCTGTTTTCTTTCTCCTAGCAGCATCCTACCGTCCGCTGGAGGCCGATTGTACTGTCTGTCATCCAGGACCTCGAAGTCAAAGCCCAGCAAATCGATAGGGATGGTGTGCTTCCTGGCGTAGTTCTGCTGGCTGCCTGTGAGAAAGGCTTGGGTGAAGAAGAATCCTGATATCCAAAATACAGCAGGCGCGCCCTTGTCGTACCAGTCCTGAACACACACAGAGGAAAAGAAGACATTTACAGTCAAAACAGTCAGGGAGGAAAAGCAAGTCAAAAAATAAATGCACAGAAGAACAAGAAAGTCCATGTCAACATTACACACTGCAGGTAACTAAAGTACAATATGTTTAATATTATGTTGAGCTGCTAATTTAACCTGTGATAATTCCTGACTTATACAAACAAAAGGAATTACAGCACATATGTTATTTAATTGACAGATTGTAATGTGAAAACTGAATTCTTCACTTGATCCCTGAGATGTTTCAGTCTGGACCACAAATCAAGCGACACACACTGAGGCACAGCACTAGCATGCCACATGCTAGTGCTGTGGTATTACAATAAATGTAACCTGCCAATTCAGGAAATCACTAAAGGAATAGGAAAACACTTGTAGCCTTCGACCCCCAGCCCTCAAACAAAAGCGATCACAATTTCATCCAATCGCAGACCCCTCACGCCCGTCTGGATGGGGGCATTGTCCTCCTGGAAAAGATGATAAATATGATCTTTAGAGCAACTTTGTACTGGTTTGCAGGTGGACCCAACCCACGCCAGCAAAATCCTCTCACAGAACAACAAAGCACCAAATCCCCGCACTGTGGGGTCAAA